AGACCTTTGGCAAATTCTCATCTATTAAGGGACTGATGTTGCCAAAGTGTGAAGTATGATGACTGTATAAATATATTTAATAAAGACCCATTTTGAAAGCTGATGCAGGTAATCTTAAATATTCACCTTTAAATTTTGATGACATTATAATTCCTAAATAAGACACAATGTTATTGCCAGTTTAGTATTTATCAGAGGGAAATTTATCTATTCTGTTTCTGTTTGCAGGATAAGGGAAGCAAGCAGAACTGTATGATCTGTATCAATAGTATTAGTATTTTTTAAAGCTTAGGGTATATACTTATTATAGGATATATTTTATTGAGGGTTTACATGGGTGGTCTTTGATTGTAGGGCTGTTTCTCAGTTTCACTCTTGATGTCAGCATACACGAGGACCTCTTCATTTTTTATGTTTTGTTTGCTAGGTATTGATGGATACAGTTAGTGAAGGTGTGAAAATCAATGAGAAATTGTCATTTGAAAAGAAGGAAAGAAAACCTACAGAAAGGAATTTGGCTTATATAGCATTTCACTCGAAAAGGACATCAGGAACATTGATAGACTGTCAACTATCATGGATAATTTTCTTGTCATAGACCAAACATTTGCCACCATTTTTCAAATGCTGAAACAGCTTGAAACCACAAAAATCTATTAGTAATTTTGATGGTAGACATTAACTTCCTCCATATGTATGTTCTACATTTATTTATTTATTTATTTATTTATTTTCTTCAGTTTCCTTTTGTGCAAGTATTGGGAATTATAATCTTGACAATGGAATGGAGGTATTTCTTTTTAAGTCACTGTATTACCACTTTCAATGACATAATTATGTAAAGTGGACACAGGTTGAAGGAAGCATAGGTTCCACTTCCCCAGTGTGCTAAAAATAGTTTAGGATCTAATCACTCCTAGTACCAACTAGCTGTGAATTCTAAATCAGTACTGAGACACCTTAGCCATCTGAGCCTTTGAACAAATGCATATTGATAGTGAAAGATAAGATTGATAAATATAATTCTGCTTTTTTACATTTAATAAAAAAAATAAACAGATTATCATGTTCTATATACAAATTTTTACCTAGTCAATAATGGCCCTAATTTACAGTGATGCAGACCAGTGCAGTGATGCTGCCAAGCGACTAAAGGCTGGTGGAAGCCCAGGAGTGCTAGAAGGTGGAAGACCAGCGGAACTTGCCAGCAGGCAGCCTGACCATGCCCATCCACCTGCCTCATCCACTGTCACATCCACTGTTGATGGTAGGTAATTTTGATAGAATGAAACGGGTCCCTTCAGCTGATCATAGTTGATCCTGAATGGTACTATCATTGTTATTATCCAGTTGTTGCACAAAATATGTTGTTTTTATTGATGATAGAATTATATTACAGTCATTATTATGTGATTATTTTCCTACTACATTTATGCTAACAAAAAATATCTGCTCTCTTTCAGGAACAGTGACAGCAAGCTTACCAGTTTCTGTGGGGCCTTCTCAATCAATACCCGATGTGCCTTTACCGCAGCCCTCTGTCATACCACAGACCCGGTCAGTGCCACAACTACGTACAAGTGCTCGGGTGCTCAACAAGCAGCGCAGAGAGGAAACCAAAGTCGATAATGTTCAAACAAATGTTGTAGGAACCAGAAAATCAGATGTGACAGGTAACCATATAAGATTATTCAATAGTCATTATCATTTTTTCCCTCCGCTTATTTGAATTTTGTCAATGGATCCCTTGCTTCTTCCTTTCCCAATTCCTACTCCTCCCCCTTTTTTCTCCTCTTCTTCTTACTCCTTTTCTTCCTCTTCCTTCTCCTTATTCTCAATTTTCTTCTTATTCTCCTCCTCCTCTTCTGCCTCCTCCTTGTCTTCCTCCTCCTATTTCTTCTCCACCTCTTTTTCTTCCTCTTCCTCCTCCTACCTTCTCCTCCTCCTCCCCATCTTCCATGTCTTCCTCTATCTCTTCTTTTTCCTCATCCCCCACTCTCCCACTTCCCCTTCTTTTTCTTCTCTTCCTGCCTCTTCCCCTTTCTCTTTTTCCTCCTTGCATTTCCTCTGTTTCCGTCTCCTTCCCATCTCCTTTGTTTTTCCTTCTCCTCTTCTTGTATCTCCTTTTCTCTCCCATTTTTTCTTCCTTTTTTTTTTCTTTCTTTCCTTCTACTTGTTTTTTCTTTTTTTTTAAGATTCCATAATCATCCCTTCTTTCTTCCTCTATCCCCATCTTCCCATCAGTTGTTCTCTTTTTCTTCCCTTTTCTTATAAAATCAGTCTCATCACCACCTGTTTTTTTTTCTCTTTCCCTCTTCATTACTTTTGTCTCTCCTCCTCCTCTTCTCTCTTTTCTCTTCTCTTTTCTCTCTTCACTCTTTTCTTACCTTCCTCTTCCATGAATATCCTTCAATAACTTCTTCCTCTCCCAACTTTTTATTTTTTTCTTGGTGTATTAGAGGTCTTTCCTTTATTACTGTGGTTCCCTACCTTTTATCACTTGTGACCCCTTCCTGTAACCTGCTGCATATTTAGGAAACCCTGTTAGATTACAAGAGAGGAAAAAAAGTGTGTCCAATTGGGAGCCACTGCTTTATAGCATATTTAAAGGATACATAATCTTTATGTATCCACTTCCTCCTCTGCCTCTGCCTCCTCCCCCCCAGTAGATTATGAAAATGCAATTTATATTTCCCAGAATAGTTAGTTGAATATCTATGCAAGTGAAATTTTTATTAGAATATGCATAATTTTTGCTTTAAAAAAAAGTGCTTAGATATTCACCAAAGGGAAAATTGTATATATAAACATGCTAATTACAGGCCTAGAATCCGAATATGGAGACGAAGAGGAGACACTTGGTAGTGGTGGCGGCAACAGCAAGAAGAGGAGGCGAGCATGGGAACTATGGTCCATGGAAGACAAAGACATCTTCTTTGAGTCCATCAATGAGTGCGGCAAAGATTTTGAGGCCATTCAGGTACTTTAGATTTCATGCTGTAACAGGAAAGTTTGGGGTTATTTATGTGATACTGTAATTGCTGATGTGGGGTATTTGTATGCTTGATTACTTGATTATAATTATCATTGTGATTATTGTTATTATATGTATATTTATTTTTGTATTATTTTTATTAGTATTGGAATTATTTTTATTATTAGTTTTGATAATATTAATCTTATTACTATTGTTGTATTACCATTGCTAGTAATATGTTACTATTGCTATTGTTATTGTTATTATTTTTTCATTATTATATATATAATATATTATTTATTGATGTGATTTTTAGAGTAGCAGGAGGAGTGTTAGTTAAAGTGTCTTTATGAATTTTATTCATTTTTTATTTTTTTGTTGGGTATTTTTTTATTAGTGTTCTTATTTTTTATTATTTTTTAATGATTTATCATAATCATTTATTGTATATTGATATTCAGTATCATGTATCATTTTTATTTATTGAATATTATTGATAATACTATTATTATTATTATTATTATTATTATTATTATTATTATTATTATTAATTATTAGTTATAGATTATTATTATTGTTAAATAGCTGGGTACATCAAAACTTTTGGAAGTAAATTAGAGGCTACAATTTTCATTTATTTTTCACTTGTTATTAAAAGTTATCCATTGTGCATCCTCTGTTTCAGCGTCTTTCATTTTTACTTTTTCTCTTGCCAGAATTACATTACAACCAAACTCAGGAAGAAAGGTACACCAGGTTTCCAGATCAAGAACAAGGACCAGGTGCGGCACTTTTACTACAGAACCTGGCACAAAATCTCCAAGTACATCACATTTCATGAAGGTATTGTATTACTTCAGTCTGTTTGTGTATGATGAGTAGCTCCTCTCTCTCTCTCTCTCTCCCTCTCTCTCTCTCTCTCTCTCTCTCTCTCTCTCTCTCTCTCTCTCTCTCTCTCTCTCTCTCTCTCTCTCTCTCTCTCTCTCTCTCTCTCTCTCTCTCTCTCTCTCACACACTCTCTCTCTCACTCTCTCTCTCTCACACCCTCCCTCTCTTCCTTTCTCTGGCTCTCTTTCTCTTCCTTTCTCTGGCTCTCTGTCTATTCCTTTCTCTGGCTCACTTTCCTTCTCTCTCTTTCTCTCTCTCTTTCCTCCTTCTCTCTCTTTCTCTCTCTCTTCCTCTTCTCTCTCTTCTCTCTTCTCTCTTCTCTCTCTCTCTCCTTCTCTCTCTTTCTCTCTCTCTTTCCTCTCTCTCTCTCTCTCTCTCTTTCTCTCTCTCTTTCTCTCTCCTTTCTCTCTCTCTTTCTTCTCTCTCTTCTTCTCTCTCTTTCCTTCTCTCTCTCTTTTCCTTCTCTCTCTCTTTCTTCTCTCTCTCTTTCTTTCTCTCTCTCTCTCTCTCTCTTTCCTTCTCTCTCTCTTTCCTCTCTCTCTCTTCTTCTCTCTCTCTTTCTTCTCTCTCTCTTTCCTTCTCTCTCTCTTCTCTCTTCTCTCTCTTCTCTCTCTCTCTCTCTCTCTCTCTCTCTTCTCTCTCTCTCTCTCTCTCTCTCTCTCTCTCTCTCTCTCTTCTCTCTCTCTCTCTCACACCCTCTCTCTTTTCTTTCTTCCTTTCTCTGGCTCTCTTTCTTTTCCTTTCTCTCCTTTCTTTCTTCTCTCTCTTTCTTTCTCTCTTTCCTTCTCCTTCTCTCTCTCTTCTTCTTTCTTCTCTCTCTTTCCTTCTCTCTCTCTTCTCTTCTCTCTCTTTCTTCTCTCTTCTCTTCCTTCTCTCCTCTTTCCTCTCTCTCTCTCTCTCTCTTTCTCTCCTTCTCTCTTCTCTTTCCTTCTCTCTCTTCTTCTCTCTCTCTCTCTCTCTCTCTCTCTCTCCTCTCTCTCTCTCTCTCTCTCTCTCTCTCTCCTTCTCTCTTCTCTCTTCTCTCTCTCTCTCTCTCTCTTCTCTCTCTTTCCTTCTCTCTCTTTCTCTCTCTCTTTCCTTCTCTCTCTCTTTCCTTCTCTCTCTTTCTCTTTTCTCTTTCCTTCTCTCTCTTTCTCTCTCTCTTTCCTTCTCTCTTCCTTCTCTTTCTCTCCTTCTTTCTTCTCTCTCTTTCCTTCTCTCTCTCTATCTTCTCTCTCTCTCCTTCTCTCTCTTCTTCTCTCTCTTCTCTTTTTCTTTCTCTCTTTCCTCTCTCTTTCTTTTCTCTTTTCTCTTTCTCTTTCTCTCTCTTTTTCCTTTCTCTCTTCTTCTCTCTTTTCCTTCTCCTCTCTCTCTCTTCCTTCTCTTCTTTCCTTCTCCCTCTTTCTCTCTTTCTTTCTTCTCTCTCTCTTCTCTCCTTCCTCTCTCTCTTTTCTCTCTCTCTCTTTCTCTCCTCTCTCTCTTCTCTTTCTCTCTTCTTTTCTTTCTCTTTCTTCTCTTCTCTTTCCTTCTCTCTCTTCTTTCTCTTCTCCTCTCTCTTCCTTCTCTCTCTTCCTTCTCTCTCTTCCTTCTCTCTCTTCCTTCTCTCTCTTTCTTCTCTTCTTTTCCTTCTCTGTCTCTTTCTTCTCTGTTCTTTCTTCTCTGTCTCTTTCCTTCTCTGTCTCTTTCCTTCTCTGTCTCTTTCCTTCTCTCTCTCTTTCCTTCTTCTCTCTTCTCTCTCTCTCTTTCTTCTCTCTCTCTCTCTTCTCTCTCTCTCTCTCTCTCTCTCTCTCTCTCTCTCCTCTCTCTCTCTCTCTCTCTCTCTCTCTCTCTCTCTCTCTCTCTCTCTCTCTCTCTCTCTCTCTCTCCCCCTCTTTTCTCCCTCTCCCCCCCCCCTCTCTCTCTCTCTCTATCTCCCGCCTCATTTCCTCCATGCGTCATAGCTGTTCTTGTATTCACACCTAGTTCAAATATATCTGAGATGACTGTGTATGGAATTTAACAGTCCAAAAAGAAAACATTTAATCAAAATTGGCCTCCCACCCACCCTCTCAAACTGAACCCAATGATACAAACAGATCAGTACAAAAGGAATATGAATAGATCTAGTATACAAGAGTTTAAAGTTTGTGAAATGTTTAGATCCCTGTATCTCAAATCATGTTTTACACCTTTACACTGCTTCTCCTCTATCATTCTTTAACTAATGTCAGTGAAAGTGTCATATGATATGCATAGAATTGCTTTAAAGTTTTTTTTTTTTTTTTTAGTTGAGCAATTTATACAGGAGGGTTAGGCATATTTAATTTTTGCTTTTGTGAAAGAGCAGAAAGGGTTGAAAAATGGAAGAAGTACAGATTCTTTTTGTGGTGGGTGTGGGTTAGAATTAATGACTATGGTATTCATACCCGAGTATGAATATCAAGGCAATAACAATAAATAATTGGTTGAGAATTTTGGGTAAGTGTATGTATAGAGAAACTTAAATTCATTTTATTTACTGATTACATTTTACTATGCTACAGGAGTCAAGAAGGCCACCCAGGAACTTTACGGCCTCATTAATTATGGTGAGCTGCGCAAGAAGATTGGAGGCACACTAGATGAGCGCAAGGGGCAGAAGTTGCAGGAGTTGATTCGCAAGGGTTCTACCAGTGTCAGGGTTAAAGGCAAAAGTGTCAGGGTGAGAACACCTATTTGCCGAGCTCTCAAAAAGCTGAATCAGATTGAAGGTGAGGAGATTTGTGTTTTGCATAATAGGGCTTGGGAACATCAATATGTTCATGTTTATGCACTACTACTATTGATATGAACTGGTCAGTACTTCTATTATAGATGAAAAATTAAGCTAACAAAATTGAAGCATGGTTGTATAATTGGTCTGAGAACACCACTGGATGTGTATGGCCTCAGCTGTGGTTGCTTTGGTTACAGTAGCTATGTGAGTTGTGCATATATAATCCTAAAAAATAATCTGAACTTATCTGAACTTTAATTTGCTGTCATACAATGTGGATATATTAGTTATACAATTCTTACTTAGGACAGGAAATGTAAGTGATGAAAGTGTTCAGATTTGGGCTAGTTCTTCAAATTTCCAAGAGAATTTATTATTTGCCCTTTCTTTTTATAGAACATCGTGAGCATGGAGAGCTTAGAGTCCCCTTAAGCATAACAGTGGAAATCGTGCCTGCAAGTATACATGCTTGGTGCCATGTCCAGGGGCAAGCGCACAATCCTCGGGTCCGTGTGACAACTCCTCTCCAACGACCTTTGGCAGCTCTCATTTCCCACCTGCAGGAGAAGTGGCGGAGATCAGAACTGAAGCTTGTATCCTTTGGATTTACAAATTTTGACCAGTCTTTGTTTTTACCATCCTCTTCTTTTTCTTCATTGTGATATTGCATCATTTTTCCCCTTGCCCCTATTATTGTACTTTCCTTGACTAGAAACCAGCGAGAAACCCTTTCCTCCAGGGCGACGTTTCCTGTGAATCTGGAGGATGTCAAGGAAAAGGTTCTGAGAATATTACCTCCCAAGGGCACTGTTATTAAGCCAATCTCAGTGCAGGTGAGTCTGGTTGTAATGTGTAAATATCTTTCATGTTATTAGGTTATCATAAATTGATTTGTCTTTCGTTATTTATCAATAGGTATTCATGCATTCATAATTGTTAGTGCTAGTAGCAGTTGTAGCAGGAATAGTAGTTTTTGTTGCTAGGAAATATTGGGATTTAGTGTTGTAAGTAAAGTATAGTAATTCTTGATCCTTAATTTTACATAACACTGATATTCCTACTATTGCTTTGATTCTAGTAAGAATATCCTTGTTACAAGATTGTCCTAGTCCCTCTTCCTAAAGCCTTTCATCATTGCAGCCTGATGTGTTGATGAAGAGCTCAGCAGTGTCCCTCCTCAGCCACGAGGCAAGACTCAGACGGCGTGGAGAGAAAATTGGAAGAAGTAACAAGCGCAAGGAAAACAAACAACCCTTGAACAAGGGACCAACAGAAGAGATAATCATTGATGAGATTGCAGGAGAGGGGGAGGGTCCACAGTGTGATGCAGAGGGGCTGGGGGGAGATGCAGAGGGTCCTTTGGCTAGTGATCGTACGTTATGGCTTTCCTCTGCGGAGGTAGATTTAGAAGATATTCCTTGGGGAAGCGAGACTAGTCTGGGCTTTCTCAAGACCAAGGAATCTGGAGGTCTCGTGAAAAGATGACTGTGGAGGTCAGGGGGGAATTGCAACTACTGCACAGACTGGGCACCGCGAAGACGATCTGGGTGTAATCACTTCCTCACCAGCATGCTCTAGCAGGGGATAGTACGAAGAAGTGCTTTGGACCTTGATGGAGTGAAGAGGACGGCTACTCCAGGATCCTACTCTATATGCGCATAGTTCAAAGTGCAATTGTAGATCTACGATTATTATACTTGTGACAGTTGGATAATGAGGTGGGAAGTCAGAGCTCAACAGAAGCATGGACAGTTTTGCTTGCGGTGGTATAGCTGTGGCATATGCTGGAATCAGAGATTATGTATGCTCTTGACTGCTGTTTGTTTGTGTAAGTTGCGGAAATTCACGAGGTTCTACTAGCTAATTGTGCACAAGAGGCAGGTAGTCCGCAGAGTCTCAGCTACCCAGTGAGATTATATTGGTGATGGTGACTCTCATTGTAGGACTTTGAGACTTTCATTCACATTCAGGAGTGGCTGGTTCATAAGACGTGTGGCAAAAACCTGTGCGTGTAGGTAAGAGTATGGATATGATGATATACTCTGATTATTATCCTAATGGTTATTCTAAGACAATCTTCATGCATAGAGATAGGCTATTGGAAAGAAGGATTAGATAGTCATAGCCAGATGAGATGAAAATAGATCAAATGGGATGTCATACAGCAAACTGTGAGTTCACTAAGTGCACTGAGAGAGAATTTACTAGGAGGTTGGACTTACTCATGTCACATAGATAAAGGTAGTAGGCAATAAACTTATGCAGGAATGTGCATATGTCATGAGTAGCAGGATCTTAGGTTGACAGCTCTTTGATTCATTAGTCTCGTAGCATCGATTCGCATGACAGTCTGAAACTAAGTTTATGTAGGTATGCTATTGTAGCTAGGAGACAAAGATATATATGTATGCATACTCTGCTTTTTTTATGGCACGGTAATATGAAGGCTATTAATAAGATAAACTAAACTTGAGAATTTAAAATGAAAGAGTATTCAATAATCTAGTACTATTTAGCAGGAACCAGTGGCAGAAGAACTTGACTTGTGGTTCAGGATGAGTACAGCGAATAATCAGAGGGAGGACTTTGTGCATGATGTAGGATGCTATAATTGCTGCTCTAGATAATTCGTGATATATATCAATTGCAGTACTCGCTACCAGCAGATTCTAGGTAGTCCTCTCAGGGAGGGTATGCGGCGGGGAACGTGGGTTGATAGTGCGGAGCCAGAAGATGGCATGAGATATAGTCAGATGCGCGAAAGTAGCGACAAAGTAATAAGGAGACGGAAGATAGAGAAAATGCAATCGATAAAAGTAGAGTGGCTGATATAGTCGAGAGACCAGTAGGGCAGCAGTGGAGATCTATGAGGAATGCTGTAGCGCGGTCGTGTGTCGCATTTGAGAAGAGATGAATAATGGCTAAGCAAGATAGGCCTGTTCAATTCTCTGTGGTGAATGTATGTGGCTGCTGAGTAGTAGGTGGAGTATCGTAGCCCAGAAGACAAATGGCGACATTAGGCTCTAGGGTTGGTACAGGGCGAAGTCCTAACAGTGGTAGGGCCCTCTTGTCTAGTGGACTGGATTCAGGGTGTCGGAACTGGTGGAACGGGAGGCAGCCTTTCAGATCGTGCCGTAGAACGCAGTGAAATGCAGTGGATGTGGCATGGGGCGAATTGTTTCCTCGGTGCTGCTTAAAACTCGAGAGAGAAACGAGGCAAGCTATAGGTGCCGGTATTTCGAGCAAAAGTGGATTATATAGCGGCAGATGCTAATGGGATAGAGACATCAATTCAAGGGTAAGGCAAATTTGGACAGTTTTGTGTATCATGTGACAGCAGGATAAATGTTTAAATAGCAGGTGAAACACAAAAGATAACGTAGATTTCATTAATTTGTAAGAAATGGTCACTCTCTTGACTTGCACTAGGTTATTGGACTTATAGGGATTCCATTATCTTGTCTTTTAGGTGTAAGAATGACGAATTGGCACAGCTAGCAGCACCAGCATGGAGTCAGAAAGTGACGTTGCTTGCACCATTTTCATCAGGGTTCCATACCAACAACAAGCACACTCGAGGCTCACAAGGATCAAGGGGAATGGCAGGGAGTTGCGGGTCGTGTAGGCGACTAGGGGTGATGGGAGCGTTCAGAGTATTGTAGTCCTGCATCAAGGAGTTCACATCATCAGTAGGTCTCGGCTTCATGGCTCAGCTGAAATTAGTAAGTTTTCTTGGAGGAATCTTTGTTTGTATCTCTTTATGTTCTTTTTCAACTTTACTCATTATTCTCGTCCTCTAGCTAGCTAAGACATCCTTGGTATCAATTAATTAACTTTATTTAGGTTTCGCTATGTAATGACATGTAATTATTACTTACTTATTATTTCTTAGTTTTGATTTGATTATATATTGTTTCTCGCATATTTCTTACTATTTTAACTTTTTTTGTAGTGATGTTAAGTTATTGATGGTTGAACAACTAAAATTCTATATAGCTATTATGGACTTCCAGGACATACCACTATGTCGTCTGAAGTGTGGAGGGATTATCTATAGATTAAACTCACATAAGAACAAAGATGGATAGTGTGATTCTCGAGAGCTATTGGATAATACCTCTATGTTTGTTGCCTTGTATTTGATATATTTTTGTATTTATAGTTAGCTTAATTTTTTTTAAATTCTATCCTTTATGGATATTATGAATAGCTAGAGTTATTGGAGAACTCTTACTGATTTCATCTTCATGCTGAATATGTAATTGATCAGATAAGGTAGCATACAGAACATGGAAGGCAGGGGTTAGTTAGCAGTCGTCCAGACGAGCAACTATTATGTTCGATGAACGTCAAGATCGTCCCTCACAGTGTTCTTACATATCTTTGAATCTCTAAGCAGTTCTGTTGGTAGACCGCACTCTCGAGCCAAAATGAGAAGTGTGTGTGTCTCATCACACCTGACACTGTTTTTAGAACTTGCTTTTCAAGCACCCTTGACTACTGGCTAGAAGACACAGCGTTGTCGTGATCCATAACTATATGGTCAATTTGTGTGGCTATACATTGCGCATTCATACCTTAGAGTACGGAATTTGCCTCCATAATGTTCTCTTGCGTGCTGATACATTCTATACTCACGCATATGAACTATGTTGTCGGACAAGGGTTGGTTTTTTCACTGGTCGGCAATTCGGTGAATAGTATTTTCTCACTGGGAAAAAAAGTGGGCTTTACACATTTGCTTTTGGTTGGTACATTAGTCTAGAGTAAAATAAAATGAATATTTTCTTTAAGTTTTCTTATGCTTATTAGAAAATACTAAATCATAATGAACAACTAAATAGTACCAATTGCTCAACTGGCATACTGTTTTATTATTTTATGTATTATTTACTGTTTGCTCAATGCGATATGAACTATTCTGGGTAGTAGATTACCCTTCAAACTAAATATCAGGTAAATGGAATATATCTTATACTTCTTATGCTACTACTAACTTCTCAACTGTAGCAGCTTCATACCTAATTAACATTTTGCTCAGCACAGTGTATCCTCATTACGCCAACCACAAAAGATTCTGTAAACTTCTTCCATTTTTCAACCCTTTCTGCTCTTTCACAAAAGCAAAATTAATATGCCTAACTCCTGTCATAAATTGCTCAACTAAAAAAAAAAAAAACTTTAAAGTTGATTCTATGCATATCACTATGACATTTCACTGACATTAGTTTTAAGAAATAGAATACGAGGAGAAGCAGTGTACAGGTGTAAACATGATTGAGATACAGGGATTTTTCTAAACAATTTTCACAAACTTTAAATCTTGTATACTAGATCTATTCCATGATCCTTTGGTACTGATCTGGTTTGTATATTTGGAGTTCAGTTTGAGAGAGTGGGTGGGAGGCCAATTTTGAGATGGTTATTACCAGGGTCTCTCTCATATCGGGGCAGTCATATATGGTTGCAAACTCTGATCGCTTTAATAGGATGATCACATCTCATTGGCATCTAATCAACATGACTCAGCCAATAAGACATCATCATGTGGGATAAGCAGTACAGACATTCTTTGTATTAATTAATAACTAGGTGTGAATAGAATTATGACAGACATGGAGAGAAAATAGAGCAGGAGATAGAAAGCGAGAGGAGAGGGGGGGACAGGGGAGAGGCGGCGAAGGAGGGGGGAGAGGGAGAGAAGGAAAGCTCCCTTCAATCCGGTCAAGCTACGGCAGCTGGGCGCTAGCTCAGCGACAGAGCATTTAATGAAGTGTAGATGGAAGTTGAGCACATGCATGTTAGAGAGAGTCGTGTCGAGTATGTGAATCGGAGATCGGAGCAGATGATGTGGACGAGGTGAAGAGAAGATGGACGAATGAAACGAAGAGAGAGGCTGGCAAAGATTGAGCTCCAGTAAGCGAGTGGACTAACCGCGATAATTCTGTAGGAGAAGGAGTGGAAAGGAATCTAGGAAGTGATCATAACATCGGAGGTGATGAAAGCACTCAGTAACTGACAGATGGAAGTAAGATAAACAACTGTGCTTCCCATGTAAAGTGGGGCACTCGCTCGAACAGAGTATCGAAGGACTGTAGATGAAGCTACCAGAGTATGAGAAGCGCAAAGGGGAGAACAAAGCACATGTACATGAACGAATGCGACCAAGTATGGTGGCACAATTCTAACTGTTAGCACAAGGAGGATTCATGGTCACGAGGATTCAGGTAACACCATTCAGCTTGTAAGTTACTCTCAGACATACTCAGTGGATTCATTACAGAAGCACTAAAGATGCGTGGAATGAAATGCACAAATGATACCGCACCTAAGTGAGTAATTCATCATCATCTATATCAACCTCTGATGGGTCGATACAATGTAACTGAAGACGAAAGGAAGTGAGAATGAGAGAAGGGAAGCATTTCATCAACTCAGTATATCGACATTATAAAAACAGAGAGAAAAAAGAAGAAAGAGAGAAAGAAAAAAAAGGAAAAAGTATAAAGAACTTAAAGAAAGTTACGAGGGAGCAGAAAGGGAGAAGCAAAGACATGTATGGGGAGGAACGTTTGAACACGCCTCCTTCACAGACCAATAGCTGTTGGGACCTCTGTACTCAAGAACATGAATGAAACGCACCAGAGCACACTCTGAAGGTTATGCATAGCCAGACCGCAACGCAAGTCAAGGGGTCAGCAAATGATGTCACGTAGACACAACCCTGCTCTAGCTACGCGACGCAGACTCGTATAATCTCTGGCAGATAGCACAGTCAAGGCTAGGAGCATGGAAAGCAAAGGAAGCTTATGGCATCGTCTACCTTGCAACGCAAGTCACAGGAAAATGGCATCTGCGTGGACCGGGGCAGAGCTCATAGTCCTGAAGGTAGGATTGTCGAAATGTAGTTGCTAGCAGTACTAGGGTATTTATCACTTGGGGAAACGGAGACGCCAATGGAGGACAGAAGGCAACACAGAAGAGCATGTCATTGGGGAGGGAAGAAAAGGACATGAGACATGGTGGAACTAGGAGATGGCGGGAGAGTAGAACGCGCAGGTATGGAACGACATGGGAGATCAACTGGTCAAGCAGCGTCACAAAAGTAACACGAAGATGAAGGAGGACTTAAACAGAGTGCTCTTCATCTATGGAGTGAGAGATATTAGGCAGTGATACGGGAAGGAACGAGTAGATGGACAAACTACTAGATATTAAAGGTTGGAATCAACTCTAATTTGATAGTAAAGAAAAATAGGGGCTTGTTTTACCTTTTTTCCCTCAATTATCCAATTATGTTTTCCCACTGTATTAAGATTCTACATACCTTTATCTTTTCTATAATGCAGAGACAGTTGATAGAGTTTCACTCTTAGAAAGTGTGTAATGATGTTAACTAGCCTTTCTTTTTTTCCCATCTTTTACCAGGCTTACTTGCTGCTGCAACTCAGCCCCGTTCTCTTGATTCTGCTCTCCTGGGTACACCATCTCTAGTAAGTGACAGTTGCGGGATTGCTACTGAAAACAATGGTGATGGTAGCAGCGTTGTTGAAGGGATCTCTGCAGTGGATATATCAGGCTTTCCAGCCTTGTCCACCACACCTCCCTCCCCACCCTCGTCACCCTCACGTCTTCTGCAGCAGTCTGATAACCAGTGGCTTAACAATGAGGTCAATGATTTCTCCCTCTCAAGCCTGCTAGGACATTTTGAGTCCCCAGTCAAGGGATCATCTTCTCGGGGATCATCACAGCCTGCTTCCTCGGGCCCCATGTTGCCGAATCTCATATCTGTGTACAATGAAAATAGTGTAGACTTTACAGCAAAGTTTGCAGAGTTGAAAGCTCAGGCATCAGAAGTCTACAAACAGTAATTTATTTTCCTAAAAGTCTCAAATGGTAAAAGATTTTGAACCTGATCTTTTTGTAAATCTTTTTGTACAAATACATTAAACTTGAGAAAAGAGCATAAACTCTAGTTACTTTTCTTCACTACATAATAAGCATTGCACAATTTAGATTATCAATGCATAATTTTGTTATTTGTAGAGACAAGAGTGATTACAAATTTGTTGAGATAGTACATATCATATCACTCTAGTCTCTTAAGCACTGAAAGGGGTTTGTTGGCCAACTTGCATAAAGATTTTGCAGTCGTGATTATGTAAATAATTTTCCTATTAACAGATGGTCAGACAAGCTGGACAAATCCATATTGAATACTTAGATTGATGATAGGTGCTAGGAAAGGATTGAAGACCAAGTAACAAAAGTAATTGAAGGAAATTGCAAGTCACCTTGAGTTTTACCATTCTTGATCAAAACAGTATTATGGTTTCAAGTATTAACTTAATTAGTATTTGGCAGCAAGGCAAAAATGCACTAGAATGTGGAGAAACACAACACAAAATGCACCTGCTTCATTGTTATATATTCAATCAGAAGAAACACAAGTAGCATATTGAGTAAATTATCTTGCTCCACCAAAGTTCGTACGAGGACCTAGCAGTTCTCATTGTAACTAAAATCCACTTTACCATTTCTGCCACTTAAGTCATTAATATGGCAGATAATTTTAGATAACCCATTTTCCATAGTATCAAAACAAGTATTAACAATTGGGTGCTCTCTCATGTATACATTGCTATTTATGAAGCATTACATGTATGTCTTGGTCAAGGCACCTTCCTATTACTTTAGACCTTAACTTGCTGCAAGCACTGGAAATCACATGGAGTTCATTATGGTTTCAGTAAACTAAGAGATGTAAGAGAAAATAACATTTAGTACAAGAGTTAACATAGGTTCCTAGTGTAAAATGTTGTGTAGCTTGTCATAAGTAATAGTCTGTGCTGTATGACAAGTTTATAGTGCCTGATGCTAACATTCAGCAGAAATGAGTGCAAGGGTTGGTGATTGAATGACAGTGTTGACATTAATGCAGTAGAAAGAACTCAGTACTTCAAGATCTTGGCTGTAGTACTTCTAGGATTTCAAATTTCTTTTATTTTTTTCTGTCACCAAAAAGAGTAAATTACAGTTTTGAAATTTTTGACAGCTTTGTCAGATCAACAAACTGAACAAGACTCATTGGTGCTATTTCTGATTTAGTCATCCCAGTGTGCGTGGTCTAATTAACATACTGTGTTACATTTCATTTATGATTTCAGAAGGGCAAAAAAGCTCTGTCTTTAGTGTGCAAAGTACATTGTTAAATGATAAACAAGCTTCAGTTTGTTCAGCTTTTACTCCATCACTCATTCACAATATAAAGCAGGGAAATTCCAGTCATTTCTGTAATATTTCACCTGTAGCTCAGTAGATATTTGCATTTTCCATTGGGAACTGCTATCAAATTTCAATTTGTTAGCCACCGTTTGCAACCATTTCAAGTAAGGAAGATTTGAAAGCTTTTTAAAAATAATTTTATGCTAAACAAATTTATCTTTTTCTGCTTGGGTTGTAAATCAGTTATTTGATTGATTGATTTTAAAAGGTGCCATTTTTAGAATTAGCCTTTTACCAGACAGACAACTTCCACATATTGTGGTCTTCCTTATAGGTTGGTAATAAAAAAAAAAAAAAAAAAAAAATCATCATCACATCCATTTATCTAGTTTTCAGAAATTTTCTTGAACTTGGTAAAAAGTAGAATGAATTACTTCCTGCTTCAAAGCATTCATTGTGAAAATGCATAATCTCAATACTATCCTTGATTTATATTGTAAAGTACATGCAAAGATGGCATTTTTAGTTTGACATTGTAGATACTGTATGTTGTTCTTTGTGAATTCCAAAGAAGCTCATATAACATGTGAAAGGTGCATAAATAACAAACAACTAAAACTGCATTAAGGGAGTGGGGACTTCATCAAGTTAGAAGCGAAGAAAAGGCACTGGTTCTTATAACTGTACAAAGGTAAAGAGAGAGTAACCAATACAACTGTAGAATAAGAAGTTAGTTTCACCTATTAGATAAATGCAAATATGTTCAGTAATTGGCTAGAAGAATCTGTGTAGATATTGACAATAGTACCTGGTTTCCAATAGTTTAAAAAAAGAAAAAAGAAAAAATAGTTATTTATTCATAGCAATAGAAAGTAAAGTGAATGATCTCTATTACATTTACTCTAATTAATGGAAAGATTTATTAGTAATTTTTGGGACATTTTACTTTGTATTTTTATTTTATTTTAAAGAACTGGGGCTTTAGGATGATGTGAATGAAACTATATTTGAAATGAATTAAGATTTTTAAAATCAGGAACAAATTGCTAACTATTCATTATTTTTGAAAGTAAAGGAATGTAGGTTTATTTTCCTTTTCTAACTCATCTATAGGCAAGTTGACAAATAACATCCAAATGGCTATTTTTTTATGAACAGGTAAACATGAAACCCAGACCTCAGACAAAAGTTCATATACGAGAAAGCTTGAAAAAATGAAGCATTATTTTTCTACTCTTATACAGCTGGTAAAAAAAATGATTTAATGTGTGTATCTCATTTGATTTTAGCTTATTTGACATTTATCATTTTCTCTTGACTACATTTAAAGGTACATTTTGCTGTGAATCCAAAGATTCTTTCTTGTATACAAATAAGAGGAATATATACTTAAAAAGAAACTTATCAGTTTTATTTGTTACAGACCATTTCATGTACAAGGCTGTGTTATTTTTATTAAAGGATTATGAAAATATGCTTGTTTAATAGTCCTTTGATAGACTGTATGACTTTTGATGTCCAGCACATTTATTTCTTTAAACCATTAACCATTAATAGTCCTGTAAAATGAGATGATGAGGGGATAAGATGATAAATGCAGTATATGTAATATTTTGAGTTCTGTAGATAGTACTTCAGCATCCCAGAATGGTAATATATTTATAATGAGATTTGCAGATAGGAAGGGGTTGATTTTAAAGTAAGATATATGTGCTGTTGATAAATAACAATCTCGGACTACTAAATAATATATATTTTGAAAATGTTTTTTACCGCTGTCAACTTTTATCAAACAATGAAATGTGCTTTCCATTACATGATTCTTGGATGGACTGAATGAATCTTGTAGGTAAAAATGAAAAAAGTAGAATTGGAGGTCTATTATTTTATGTTTTTGTGCTGCTAATGATTGACTATAACATTAGGAAAGAAAGTGCATTACATATCATTCTCTTCTTTAACATCTGTTCACTATATTTCTACTAACATTTCCAATGCTTAATTGTCAACCTGAGCAGAACTATAATGTATATCTAATTATGATTATTTTCTTTATTCATAAAGTTACTGTACAGCTATACATATACAGGAATTTTAATTTATCAAAAAGTTATTAATATGCAGTACCATTTTTTAAAACTGGGGAGTACATACAGTTCAATAGTAGCACATGCATCACACACAAATAAAACTATTTAATATATCAAAATAGGAAAAAAGGAAACAATTGAATTTTTCCCTCCATCATCTCTGAAAGAAAGAAAAAATAAAGATAACATACATGTGCCAAAGAAACATCATAAATAAAGATAAATAAAAACAATGTGTATATGGTGTATGTGTAATTGAAGTAACGTGTTTATGTTTTAATAAAGATACTTATAAAATGCTATTGCTACTGCATAAAAAATGAAATATCCCTGAGAAACCCTATTTTCAGTCTTATACTTTGTGGTCAAAACAAAAAATTTTTGCCTTTCCAGTAGAGAGTATCTCTGGACAGATATCATCTGTTTGTATGTTTCCCAAGATTTGTTATCCAAACAAAATTGTATTATGTATAATTTCAAAGCATTATGTTCTTAAACGATAAAACTGTACAGTTACACATGGGGGTAACAAGGAGTTAAATATAGAAACCCTTAAAATGGATTGTGTATGTCTTCAACAGTGTTATATTGTTAACTTGCAATCTATATGATTAATATCAATTCCTTGCTATTCATACTGCTTCAAAAAAGCAGTAAGCCACTACACAATGCAGTCTTTCAGAAGCTATAGGAATTGGTAACATCCTTCAATAAGAGAAGATAGTCAAACAATCTACATCTACTCTATATTGATTTTAAGGGACAATATGAATTAAAATGTAATAGCAAAATTGCAATGAATAAAATATTTTTTGCTTTCTTAATGATAACTTTAATAACATACTTCAGTACCATACTTGATTTTTACATTTCTGCCATGAAAAATTAATATATGTCATTTCATATTTTCTAATCACTAGCAAGAAACTGGGCACTTTAGAATCACACTTTAATTAACAAAAATATTTACACATATTTATATATCCTCTATTGCAGATGTATTAAGGATGGTGAAGCTGCAATGGAAAAAGTAGAAAAAAAAAATTATCTCTTTTTTCTGGCAATTATTCTTGGTTTCCCATTACAATGTTTGAGGCACATTATATGGTCACATATCACATTCACATCTTAATCAGTTAAGTAGCAAAAATGAATATAATTTACCAGTTTCATGGCTGAAATGACAAAAGTTGAATTTTCATTACTTGGTCTGACCACTATATATATATATATATATATATATATATATATATATATATATATATATATATATATATTATATATGGAAAAAAGGGAAAGAAAAAGTAACCCAACTACCCCAGCTGCTACGTGCAATTTCCTATACTATTCATATTATATCTCATTTTGAGTAATCCTTCCAGGCTTCTTTCTTATTAATCATAAACTATAAACATGCACCCACATGTGCAAGCATATTCAAACAAACAAACAAAAAAAACACACACACACAAACAACACACACAAACACACACACACACACACACACACACACACACACACACACACACACACACACACACACACACACACACACACACACACACACACACACACACACACACACACACACACACACTACACACATCCCTTGATTTAGGAACCTGTTCAAGCTCTAGATTGAACTGTATTCATGTTGACAAATGTAGAAAAGGTATGAAAGAAAATGAATATTTTCAAAATACAAGAGATATAGATTATCAGAACTTATGAAAAATAATTTTGACCTTAGCTTGGAGGCAGCAGTAACTACTCCTACTAAGCCATCATCCAGTTGGCAGAGACAACAAAACTAGCAACTCAAAATTCTTTACAGCCTGGACTCATTTTCACCAAGCTCACACATACAAGAAATAGATATAAATGTACAGTATGTGAAACACAGCTGAGGTTTGTTTTTGTTTTCTTTTTTGCATGGTTTAGTATCTATTATGTGATGATCATTGAGTTTTTTTTTCTCTCTGGACACAACCGGGTGGAGATTAATATATATAAAAAATAAACATTCTATGCCTTATCATACAAGTGATAAATATGAAAAATAGTAACTTTGGGGTAATTAAAAAAAAAAAATCCACAGTACTTCTTT